AAGTGACTTTTAGCATCTAGTTTTGTTCTTTTTTGTTTAGGAATGTGTACAGCACATTTTGCGCCAAATTCTCTGAAAAAGTTGATATCAAAGTCTCTTTTGAACCAAAGTTTATGTGGAGTATCTTCCCTGTTTGAGTTACATCCAACTTTATTGAGAACAAAAACTGCTGCATTTAAGGCTTCTGCCCAAAGGTTTTTATCTAGATTTTTACTGTGTAACATTGTTCTAACTGTTTCGACTAGGGTTCTCATTTCTCTTTCTGCACGTCCGTTTTGTTCTGGGGTGTAAGGACAAGATGTTTCGTGTATGATCCCCTTACTTTCTAACAAGCACTTTAGATTTTTATTGACAAATTCCAATCCATTGTCGGTTCGAAGTCTTTGTATTTGACACCCTGTCTGATTTTTGGTCATTTCAATAAACTTTTGAAAGTAACCGATAACTTCTGATTTTTGTTTTAAGTAAAATACAAATCTATAGCCTGAAAAGTCATCTTTAATTAGTAGAAAATACCTTGCTTGTCCAAGTGATTCCACTTCAAAAGGTCCACAAAGATCAGCATGCATAAGTTCACAGGTATTATTGGCTCTTGAGTCACTCAATCGGAAAGGTAATCTGTGTTGCTTCCCGAGAAGACAATCAGTACAATGTGGATTATTTTGGTCTTTATATTTTATCTCATGTTTCTTCAAAGTTTTTTTTACTTGTTCGAAATTTATGTGTGCAAATTTCTTATGCCAATCTGTCAAACTTTCTATTACATGACACTCTTCAGTTTTATTTTCAGCCAACACAGTTTTTGAGACAGTTTCCTTCTTTAAATCAAGCAATTTAACAACATACAACCCATTTTCTTCTTTTTCGCCTTTCAAAATTTCTTTGTTATTTTTTGAGACTATAACCCTATTTTCTTTAAACAGGACTTCGCCTCCATTTTCAACAACTGCATTTACTGAGAGCAAATTTTTGGTCAATTCAGGCACTAATAGTACATTATTCAGTATGTACTTTTCGCCTACTATATTTCCTCTTCCAACAGCTTGCATTTTCTCATTTTTCTTCGCAACCAATATATCACTTTTTGTGTCTTCTGTGCAATTAAAGATTTCTACGTTGTTGGTCATGTGTGAAGTACATCCTGAGTCTACGACAAATTCTTGAAATTGGTTGGAAAAGCTGTGGGACAATAAAGCTACTTTGTTCTGGTTATTTTTTGTATGTTTGGAGTGGGAACTTGAATCTTCATCTTCCTTTTTCTTAAAGAAACAATTTTCTTCTTTATGGTTGGTTTTCTTGCATATGTTACACTTTATTTTATTTTTGGAATGGCAGTCCTTAGCATAATGGCCTGGTCTCCCACAGGCATAGCATTTTCTATTTTGTTGACCATATTTTTTATTACCATATTCTTTTTGTCTTCTATCTTCTGCCCTAAAGGCTACTGTTTCTTCAGTCGCCTCTCTTTGATTAAATCTTGCCTCTTCAGCAATCAATCTTGAAGTAAGATTGGTCAGTGTCCGTTCACTAACAGGTGTTGAATCCCATGCTGTAGAAAAATGTTTAAATTGTTCAGGCAACGTAGATAGAATCTTTGACATGAGCATGTTTTCGTCAATGTCTTGTTTTAAGGTCTTTAATCGGCAACATAAATTCTCCATTTTACTAATATGTAAACTAATATCAGAGTTTTTGTCATATTTAAAATTGAAAAATTCTTGCAGAAGATTACATTTCTGCTGCTCATTTTCTCTCTGGAAAATACCACATATTTTCTTAAACATTTCATGGGAATTTTCACAATTTAAAATATGCATCATGAGATTTTTATCAATTGTGGTTACTATAGCTTTTTGAGCCTGAGCGTCTTTCTTTTTCCAATCGGTTCTTTTATTGTCATCAACCATGTCTTGAAGCTTTTTAGCACCATCAACAATTTCATATAAACTATTTGCTTTAAATAATATTATGATTTGAAATTTCCATAATTCAAACGACTCACAATCTTTTAATTTGTTGATCAAGGACAAATCCTCTGAAGACGCCATTTTCCAACACTTCACTATTTTTGCCAGGTATAATCACACAGATTTTAGGTTGCCACACAGAATGCCACAAAGATTTTAGTTTTTTTTACTGTTTTTAGGTCACACAGGTTTTAATTTTCGCACACAAACGGGTCTGGGCCCATAACCTGAGGTTATTATAATAAAACACGAAGTAATTATTAACTTTTAATTAGAAAAAAAACTGGCAAAAATTAAACGGAAAATTAATTTTACAACAAAACCGACGCCATTTTTTATTCAGAACTGAACTGATATATTTTTACATGAAGGCGGTTCCTATAAAAATATTATTCCAAAGAATGTGTGGCGCCATCTACAAATTATGGTCCACACCTAACTAATTTCTGTGGTAAAATAATCTTATTGATTTTGTTAAAATGAAATCTGTTTTCTTCAACAAGGTTTTATAGAAACTTTATTTAGTATTCAACAAAAATAAAATGAATGATTTATTTGGTAAAAGTAACATAGGTGTACTATTTAGCATTTGGGAACTAAAAAAATACAGCCTTGATTTCCTGATATTACATTACACTTTTGCTTTTGGTTAAACCTATCGGTTAAGTAGGTTTCTTCACATTCCGTGCTCATAGACTTTTGTTTTACATCTGTTTTAAACTTGTTTATTATAATTTTTTCTATGTATTATGATGAAAAGAATGTACTATAATATTATAGGACTCTAATGTTATGGTACTAGTACATATAGTACATTTAAAGGATCAGTACAGTTGTACTAGTTCAATCATGTACTACACATCCCTCTTTCGGGGATTTGACCCGGGCCAACCCCAAATTTTTCTACGTCATTATGTTATCGGTGGCGCCACCTAGTGTACATAGTGTGAAGTTCGATGTGTCCTATTACAGGATGCCGTAGTGGTGAATAAGGAAAATTCGTGAGTCATCACGCCGCCGACGTTTAATGTGGAAACAAACAGGGGTATCATGTTACACGGTTATTTTCACTTATAACTGATAAGCCTTTCCGTTCTAGCGAAAACAACAACAAGCTCAGACTTGCATTTATATTTTGTCGATGATAAACATGTATGGATATTTTCACTACCGACTAACTACATATATATATTTAAAAACATTCCAACCCATAGCCCCAAAATATTTTCAGTCAAGTTGGACGTTATCTATTACCTAACTAAAAACCCTTAAGGCCAAAAAAGGGTGGTATCAATAATTTTAAAAATACCTAACTATACCATAACTTTTTTCAGGCGGGGAGAACGAAGCACCAAACAAAATTCATTCGTGTTCATGTTTTTTTCTATTCCAGGCTCTTGAATTTTCTCAACCCATTTAGAAAAATTCCAGAGCCGGGAATAGACAAAAATTGAGCTGAAAAAATTAAGCAGGAGAAAGAAAAAAATTAAGAGGAATTGAAGAAACATTGGTAGACAAATAAACATTAATTATTTTGTTATTTCAAATTCTTGAATTTGTTGTATCCAAGATCTAATCGAAGAAATGAGATTATACCGGGTGTTTCATTCAAAATTGTATCACTCTGTAAAAATTAAACGACTATTAGATAAAAGTTTGCTTTGAAATATCGGGGATTTGACCCGGGCCAACCCCAAATTTTTCGACGCCATTACGTTATCGGTGGCGCCATCAAGCGTACATAGTGTGAAGTTCGATGTGTCCTATTACAGGATGCCGTAGTGGTGAATAAGGAAAATTCGTGAGTCATCACGCCGCCGACGTTTAATGTGGAAACAAACAGGGGTATCATGTTTCACGGTTATTTTTACCCACCTGTGCAAACAGTGTGCGGCAAGAAGTGTTAGACTTAACCTTGACAAGCACACACATAAGCAACCAAATTAAAAACTGACACGTCTCCAACGCAATCTCGATGTCGGATCATAAACATATAAGATTCGATATAGAGGTCAAAGAGACACGACTTCTCGAGCATAGAAACTCAAAACTAACTGACTGGGGTCTATACAAAGACCTAATAAAAGCAGAAATAACCGACTACCCCAACACAATAGAAACAGAGAGTTAGTTAGAGTATATCTCGAACGAAATAAACACTCTAGTAACAGCCTATGAAAACAGCTGTCCTGTGAAACAAAGGGTCGTAGATATAAAAACGTTCTGGTGGAACAGGACGCTCAGTTCCCTAAGAGCTGAAACAAGAAGGTTATTCAATGGGGCAAAACGCACCAACAACTGGAGCAAATACAGAACTGCCTTTACTGAATACAACAAGGAATTGAGAAGGTCTAAAAGGAAATGCTGGAGGAATATCTGTGAGGAGATTACTGACATCCCTCAGACAATTGCAAAAGACTACTCAAACGGCATTGGACTACTGCAAAAACCTGATGGCAGTAACACAGAGAGTAGATTAGAGAGTGTGAAACTGCTGCTACAATCGCACTTTCCAGACTCTGTAAAGTGTGAGCTAAACGGCAACAGAGCTTCGATGGCTAAGGGCGTCTCATGCCCAAGCAACCGAACAAAAAGTCTGGCCAGAAAAATATTCATCTCAAACAAAAAAAAAACAATTTTCAGCCCTACAAATCATCAGGAGAAGACAGCATTTTTCCAGCTCTCCTACAACAAGGTTTAGAAGAACTTATAACTCCACTAGCAATAATAGTCAAAGCTAGCTACCTACTAGGTTACATTCCCAACAGCTGGCGGGAAGTAAATGTGGTCTTTATTCCAAAGGCTGGGAAACGTGAGATTCGCGAAAAGTTTCAACCTGGGAGCCTACTAGAAAAAGGGGAAGCACAATAGATCTATTCAGGTAGCAGTGCAGAGAGGTCTATCACCTGAACGCCCCTAACTCAATCTCATCTAATGTAATATATGGGCGTGTATGGTCATCAATTCATAACCAATAACTCAAAAATTCATAATTTGAGTCAACTAATTAGATAGATAGACAAAATCATTTACCGTTTTAGTCATTCCAGGGAAATGTAATATCACAGCTTGCTCTGGCCAATTTTTCGTTACGTAGAAGTGGAAATCCCACACCCTGTCGTTTACGAAAGTCTTCAAAGTTTGATGAAACTGAAACAAAACAGAGGCTTAAACTTATATCAAATTATTCACCTTAGTTTTATTATCTTTTTATTACATTAAACCAAATTTGCCTACAGCTAATCCAATAAAACATTGATAGGTTGATGGTTGATGTCTACTAAGCTTTAAAGGTTTTATTACGATTCAGCTTTAGCGAGTTGGCTTCTAGATTTAACGTGCAGTTTAACCACTTTAGTTGGACATTCAAACGAAGCGGCCACTTAATTTGCATGTTGCAACTTTGCTTATAACAAACTCTGTACTTTAGCCAACCAGATCTACATTTTAGACGACAAAGAATTTGTTAGTACATATTTTGTTAAGAAGAAATAAAAGGAGGTTTTTAATGTAAAAAGTTGAAGATGTATTAGAAATAAAATTGAAGCTCCAAAAAAATAATGATTGATCCATGTATTAGGAAGCCATATATCCCCATGATAATCAAGCAATTATAGCGAAAAATATTTAGAGCATAGCAACAGCTAAATGATGTTTGCAAGCAAAAACTTAATTAAATCGCACCAAACAAATGTCGCGTCGTTGTCTAGCTACAGATCTTTTCTGGCTTCCGTGATTGAAAACAGTTTTCGTTTACAGGTCATATTTATTTAAACGCCACACCATCCAGGCTTGTAACTTACAACTCAATAATAATTGTATCGTGTGGTGCATGAATATTTTTGAATTTTGATTAATATTATGGATTTGCTTCGCGGCTGCATACTAACAAATTTACCGCTAGGAAACTCACATCAGAGAAAGCATTATACGCTTTGAAGAAACTTTTGATCATGGAAAAGTTTCCCAATGCATTTTTCACTACGCTGTGTAATGAATAAGCAACAGATAGGGCCTGTAAACTTGTATTGGTGGAACAACATACACTATGCCATGATTCAGATTTTGTATTTAGGGATTCAGTTTTTTAAGCATTGCTAACCTTTCCTAGTTATAGTGATACATCTAAAATCTAGAACTGTTTGGCCATTTTTTGTCAAAAATCTGTATAACATGAACATGTAGCAATAAAATATTATGTTTTGACCTTAAACTCTATCGTCCTTGTATTTTGTATGGCACCGCAATATCGCGTTGAAAACTTCTGTTACCTGCTTTCCCGAAACAAGTTTAAAAAAAAAAAAAAAACATGCTTACTTAACATGCAAACTTGAAAAGATCTGAACAGATTATATAGGGCTTTTAAAGTCGGTGGTTCCCGAGTGGAGTACAAATTATAAAATTATTATGGAAACGGGTGTGGTTTCAGAGCTAACTGAGCATTTAGAACGTTAGATAGAGTAAAACCATATTATGTAGTAGCTGCTTTGGTAATTTAACCAAACATTTGGAAGGTTTCTTATAATCAAAATGTAGGAGATACGTACACATATACATATAAGAAACCTAGATCCTTATTTATTTAAAAAATCTTAAAACTTAATAATCAGGGGCTGATCGTGATTGATTTTAAAAATTTAAAATATTACCTCGCACAATCACCTAATCAAATTTCAGAATTTTATTCAAAACATTTGGAACTTCTTGGCATTTAAATAACTTTATCGATTTTAGGGGGGACTGAATTTTGAAGGTAATTAGGCACGTTTATAAAGCTTTTATGGAAAGTTTGAAATTTGCTTTAAAAAGTACTGGTTTATTCAGAACCGTATAATGAGAAAATATAGGGAAGTATAATGCTCTATCAAAAGTAAAACTTCAGCAAGATCGGGTCACATACGAGAAACCCTATTAAAATTGAGAAGAGAAATGGATCCAAGGAAAACCAGGACTATAAGGAACTTGGCAAGGAAATCAACAAAATCATCCAATACCCTTGTCTAGTAATATATTCTTACATTACTATATTTACTTATTATACTGTATTTATTCTATTGTATGTATACCTAATCGGGAATACTCCTTTTTGGCAATATAAATACAATCTAGATTTGACTTTTTGGGAAAGAATTATTGGAAAATCTCTTTCGATGACCGATAACATATCATGTAACTAGTATATTTCCGAGTATATTTCGTATAGCTAATAGGAATGTTTTCATTATTATATTTACCTTATATGTATAGTATATGTAGGTATATCTATCTATAATGTCTCTAAACTGAAGCTATAATTTCATTAAATGGTCAGTTTACCAGCATAATTTGGTTGGTGGTAGTCACTCAATAGAGTTGTGGCCTGTATCCCAAAATGATCAGTTATTAGATTTCCAATTTCACGTATAAAATCCACATTTTCCTCTATATAATTTCTGATAGAATTTATGTACCTACCTACTCTTTCAAACTTGAATAAGTTTTTTATCTAAAACAATAACGCAATACTAGAACACTCCGAATCACCCTAATTCAGCCTTACTTTTCACAAAACTATACCACTATAACTGATCGTTACCTTACTGTCCAATTCTCAATTGAAAGTTTTACTATATCTGTCCGATTTACAAATTTTTCAAATCTCAACTAACTCGCGGGCTTCTTATTTTCAATGCTTCTGTAGTCTAGAGTATAGACAAAATCAGTGGTATTAATAAGATGAAATATAAGCTCAGACTCCTAGTATTCGAAGCATATTATGCTGCAACTGGTATTAATAAATAAAGTTGAACTTTTGCTCAAATTCGGTTGACACTAGTTTGTGAGCATTTGCTCTAGTAGATATTGATAAAAAGAATATTTTCTTCAAGTCTAGAGCATCTCGTCCATTTCACTTGAGTCTAGTCAGTAGCAAACTCAACTTAGGAAGAGAGTGACACCATGTCCGAATTTATAAATAATTTACGCAATCCTAAAGTATATATAGTTCGTAGAGACGTGGACCATCGAAACCGGAAAGTGTTACATCAATTTAAGAAGGAAAATGTCGAGGAAAATGTTGAATGGATGTGTGACACTAGCAATACCAGCCCGATGCACCTCGCTACAAAAAAGAAGTGCAACTGATTTAGAGGGATTAATTTGTAATTGATGGTCTTTTGCCACCTGAGACAATGTTCCAAGGTCCTCATTCAAAAGAGTACCGTAAGACGGGGCACTTCGGACAGTTTTTGATGTTTTATGCATTTTTCTTGACCTTATCTTTTTCAAATTCAACCAGTTTTTTTTATGTAGGTAGTAATAAGAGTTATAAAGTAACTTCGGACACAAATATAAATTTAAAAAAAAATTAGAAGTTTGTTTTTTGACAAAAACTTAAAAAATACAGATTTTTTAACTTTAATTAAGGTTTATTAAAAAAATAACATCAATTCCAAAAAAAATCAGTCAAGAACTTATCTTTCCTTTTATTTCCCAAAAAACTTAACGCTTATTACAGGGAAAAATTTTTTTAAAAAAAAATCATAATAATTGTATAAAAAATAGTATATTGTTGTATTAGGAGTAGAAGCTTTACTTTTTTGTGCTGAAGCAGTAGGTTTGCGAGCCGATCGTAGTGAGGCTTGCAATACTGCCTACGGTACATGCTTGCTGACTCTGTGTGGGACTAAATGACAGTAGTATTTGTTTGTCATCTGCGTAAGTATGACTACTGCAGTGTTTCAAGTATTTGTCGAATTGTGAGGTATAAATTGTGAACAGAAGAAGGCCCAAAATACTTCCCTGAGGAACTCCGGCGACCACCTCACAAGGATCCGACATTTTATTTTCGAGGGTAACATACTGTTGACGATTTGATAAATGTGATTGAACTGAACCAAAATCAGTAAATTCAAAACCAATATACTTCAATATTGATAGAAGTAAATCGTGATTTATTAAATCAAATGCCTTAGTAAAGTCCAATAATACAAGAACTGAAGCTTGATTACTGTCAAGAGCGGCCAATATATCATCTGTTACCTTAGAAAGAGCTGTGCAGCAGTCATATCCTTTACGAAATCCGGATTGGTTTGGTGGAAACAGTTCATTGGTATATCCATGTAACTTCGAATTTGGTCTTCCATTACCTTTTCAAGGACTTTTGATAGAACTGGAAGTACTGATATAGATCGAATTTGCGGAAAGAAGGAGGCATTTTGAACCTTTGGAAGAGGAATAATTTTGGCTTTTTTCCAGAGTAGTGGAAAATATGAATTTTCTATAGATTAACAATGTGCAAAATAGGCTTAATTATGACAGGAAGAGCTAGAAGTATTATTGTTATACATTTAAATTGTCCAAACCGAATGCCTTACTCTTTATGTGAGTGATTAAATCTTTAATATAATTTTCTGTAACCAACTGAAATTGAAATCTGCAGTTTCCTAGACTGTTTTGGTTATAAAAATTGGGAATATTCTGATTTATTGGAGGTAGATTTTGAGTTACTTCAGAGAAATATTTATTAATGTTATTCACATCTTTTAATTCTTTTGTCAGATTAAGTTTTTTAGATGGCTCACAAATATCTATTTTTTAAAATTTTTTCCACATTTGATGTTGCTTAACATTAGATAATTTAAAGTTAGGATACGCTTTCTTCTCTTTTCTTATAGCTGTAGTTGTCATATTTTTCAAATTTTTGTACGAAAGCCAGTTATCATTTTTAGTTTCCCTAAATTTATTCAGAGACTTATTTCTTAATTTTATCAATAAATGAACATTATCAGTAATCCAGGGTTGAAATGGTTTATCTTTGTTTTTAATAATCTTAAGAGGAGCATGAGTTTCAAGTACTTCTAGTAATGAATTGGTCAGAGAATCAACTTTCGTGTCAATATCATGCAAGGCATAAAATAAGTTCCGCGATAAATTACGCAGATCTTCCAAAAAAATATCCGTAGGATTACTAATAATTGTAGAATGCTAAATTCGTGCTTAACACTTGTTATATTTTATTTGACGTTATTTACAGGTACTCCTGACAAATCAATAATTAAAAAGTTGAGACTTTACCTTTCTTGGATTGTTGGACTTTAAAACACGCGCATTTTTGAATGTTGCATTTAAACACGCTGAGGAGTACTTTAAATAGGTAAAATAGGTTATCA